AAAACGTTGTTGTTTTTTTTTTTTCGAATAATTATTATTTTATGCATTAACTTCACTCAAAAACGAATTTTTGATTAAGCGGTCATTTTTAGCGGTCATTAAAAATAATGACCGGGTCATTATTTCCCACGTGCAATGATTCCTAGGTCAGTATTGCTGTAAACAGTACCATTTGGAGTCATTGTTGTGTTTTAAAGTTTTCTTACCAGCCAATCAAATTCGAGTATTATCAATAGAGGTATAATAAACAACTATATATACATTTGTGGTATCTGTCTATTATATAAACATACGGAGAACAAATATCTTCAATTCTGTATGAAGTTTGTCTGAGGTCAGAGGTCAATACGTGACCTAATCACACGGCGCAATAATATCTACCGGTGCATAAATATATTATACAATTAATTACCCCTTGTGAGGTCAACATGGTGAAATAAGGACCCGAGACCTGGGCCACGAGGTGACCTGACCTGACCGAGGCCGAGGTCAGGGCAGGTCATCGAGTGGGCCAGGTCTCGGGTCCTTATTTCACCATGTTGAACTCACAAGGGGTAATTAATTGTTTTATTATACCGATATATATTGAAAAGTATGAATTTCTAACCGCTATCAATTCTTTCTTTGATCGGGATCGGGATTCGCTACAGACCGGATAGCGAAGTTGTTTACATTGACGTCTGCAAGTCGTGTAAGTTTTTGCATCATGATTTACTGATTAAAACAATATTTAGTTGATAGCGACATACATTGTTATAGCTAACGATTACTTTTCCTCTACACAGTCAAAATCTAACACAGAATTCAACTCTTTAAAAAGCCGCCTCTACATTCTATTGAACTGAATTGTAACGATATATTGACACGATATATTCATAATATTGTAACGATAAAATTTTACCGTATTCTGTACGGTAATGCAAAACAGACCATGCATAATTTTAAAAACATGTTTTTTTTCGAATAATTATTATTTTATGCATTAACTTTACTCAAAAACGAATTTTTGATTAAGCGGTCATTTTTAGCGGTCATTAAAAATAATGACCGGGTCATTATATCCCACGTGCAATGATTCCTAGGTCAGTATTGCTGTAAACGGTACCATTTGGAGTCATTGTTGTGTTTTAAAGTTTTCTTACCAGCCAATCAAATTCGAGTATTATCAATAGAGGTATAATAAAATGTATTACAATGGGGAAATCTGGTAAAGAACAGAATGGTCAAAGCTTCTCAGGTGAGCGATGTGGCCTATGGGCCTCTTGTTTTAATTTATATTACTCCAGTGATTTGTCTGCTTTAATGAAGAAATCTATACGCAATATGTGTTTTTATTAATTTCAAAATTCCAATAACTGATAATGATGGGACGTGGAGACCGGTCCTTCGGATAAGACTGTATAAACCGAGGTCCCATGTTGCAATAGGTTCTGGAACGAAAAAGAGCCGTGAATGGCCACGAGTGTCGAGTATAGGACAAAACTTTGCAGCTCTCAACCGGCAAGTGGTGGCGTCTTCATATGGATGAAAAATTCTCAAAAGGGATGTTAAACAACATACAGTCAATAAAACACAGCCATTTTCATATGCACAATATATTTAAGTACAGGCTTTTTGATATGACAGCTCTTTTTCAATAAAATAGATTTCGTAAATTATTGAGTACTTACCTTGTCATCGGTCATTTGCATTTTTTTAAAACATTCTGATTGTACACACAAGTACTCTGAATTTAACATTTGAATTGAACATATTTTATTGTAAATTATGTATAATCAATGGGAATGGGCACAAGTTCTTAAAACTTATTTAACATTTAAAAGATGCTTGGGTTTCTGATTGACGATATCTACGTGTGTGGTTTTTGAAGACCACGTCTTCCAACAATATATTGGAATTCCCGTGGGTACTAACTGCGTCCCGTTATTATCAAACCTATTTTTGTATTCATGTGCAGCAGAATGACGTGAAATGAAGTGGCCTTCAACTCGACATTTAGAGATATCCCGGTTGCTTAAAGCAAAAGATACTACAGTCTGACCCATCTGTTTCATATTCGGATCTTTTACTTGAAAAGGATGTAAATGGCAATCTAACAACCAAGCTTTAAATGATAAACGTGATGTCTTCAACTTTTCAATCGTCAACTTCCATTACTTATGCAGCAATATATACCTTCATCACATGCTTCCGGGGTTTAACATCCCTCAATTGACTCGATACGCAAGAGCGTGTTCTACGTAAGTATAATTTATAAAACGAGGTAAACTATTGACAAATAAGTTGGTGAAACAAGAATATCAGCAGTCTCGTTTAAAGTCATCATTTCGTAAGTTCTATGGTCGATACAGTGACTTGTCAGCAAATATAATGTGTCATTGAGCCAAATACTAACTGATGTTTTTCATATTAATTGTTAACGTATAGGCCAATATTTACATACTGAATTGTAGACGGCTTTTATCGTTATTTCACGACCAAGACAAGGAGCACACGGCGGGAGTGACCGGTCGGCAGGGAATGCTCACTCCTTTATGGCAAGTGATCCCACCTCTAATGTTTAATATTGTTCGTAATCTCCATATATTTCATTCTTTTTTTTTTGTTTGTTTGTTTGATTATCAATTTTTTTCCTGATACATTTTTTTTTCTTTTTAGGCAATATTTCCCCCCCCCCCCCCGCCCTTTACACAACCCCTGAGAAATAATTCCACAAGCAATTTTATTTTCGGTGAATTTTTGTCTTCTAACCACTGATAATTCATATATACATAAGTGCAGTACATTCCCCCAAATTTACTTGCTATATTTTGACCATTGAAAATTTAGTTGTTGAAATATCCCCTCTTCTTTAAAGTTTTGGTGGAAAAATTAAAGTGACAATCATTTCCATTCATATTTCTTTCATATTCTTTGGAATATATTCTACAGCACTAAAAATCCAATAGAAACAGATTTTCTGCATGTATTTTACCTGTTTACATTCGATTGAAAAATTCAAGTAACAATCATTTTCATTCATGTTTATTAATTCTCTTGAGAATATATTAACAATAGCACTAGATATCCAACTGACACATATTTTCTGCATTTATCTACAAACTCCGTATGTTATTTCCCGGTGATAACCGGCAAAGGTAAGAAAATCCACTCGAACAAACTCCACTACGTAAACGTTTCACAGATACTTCAAATACTTCCTCAAAATGAACCAATGCAACTGCTTCTTCAATAAAAACACGAGGGGTGATCAAAAAGTTCGTGAACTATCTTTATATTTACTTAACCACGATTCAGATCAGAATGAAATTTGGCACACATAGTGTCAAGCACATGCTCTATGAATAGCATATGTAAAGGGAGATTTTGCCCCATGTTTGTGACGTCACAATGTGAAAATGTCGTCATTATGTAGATCACTCGTAACAAAAAACGGTTGACTCAGTCGTATTCGAGAAACGAACGGCTGTAAAGTTAAACGTTTATCTTGGAAATTCCTTTGCAGAAGCTTATAATAATTTGTGCACGGTTTATGAAGACAAAAGACTTGCCAGAAGTTTTGTCATTAATTGGATTGATAGTTTTAGTGAAGGAATGGAGATGATTAAAAATAATGTTTATTCTGTTGTCCAGTGAAAGCAAGGTGGGGAAGAGACGTGTTCTTTGTTAAGCAATTTGATATAAAAGATCGCCAACTAACAGTTAGAAAAATAGATGAATATCTTTACAATAATACAATTATTAAATCCCTAAAATATTATTTACTTTAGACTTTAAACATATCAGTTATGGTAAAAAGAAGGCACCCATACTTTATCCACATGGAATAAACGGCGCTCAAAAGACAGTTTTGATGGTCACCAATCCATGCTAATTCTGTAAAAGGATATCATTATCCACCCTTACTATTGCCGAGATTTTGCCATTTCTGACAAATGGACTGTTTTTGTTGTCAAAAATAACTTGCATGGAAAGAAATATAAGAGTTGGAAAAAATTTAAAGCTTCTAAGACAGAACGCTAAGTATAGCATGTCACGGGACCGACTATATCACGTGATTGGCGCATGCATGGTCAGAACGGTTGCAGCTGCGCATTACAATCGGAGAGGACTTCTTTGAAAAATGTTTAACACTGAAAACCTATATCATTTCTTTTTTTGGAAGTTATTCAATTAGTTCGCGAGCTTTTTTGGTCCGACCCCTCGCGTAGTCATTCAGTGTGCATCATGGCGTTATAGCGCGAATCGAAAGATGGAATAAAATAAGGCATAAAATAATTTTTGTAAGTGCTTACACATTTTTCGTTTTATGCCACTTTTCACTTCCCCCTCATATAGCATTTCCTAGAATTACTGGGCCCGTTCAGGATGCTTGCAATATATAAAAAGTATATTTATTCCCCTCAAATTGATCTTAACAGAATTTGAATGGGAACAAACCCTGCACCCACGTCATACCCTGAAAGCTTATAAAGCGTCCACTTACTTGACTTCATTGTTTCTCTTTTGTAAAGAGGTTTAATGTTGAAAACTTTTCAAATTGTAGAATCATCACAACTTTGGCAAAGAAGTAAATAAATAGACACATTTTTTTCAAGTTATTCTTATCCAAGGTTGGTGTTACTTTTTTGCACTGTTTTACTTGAAAGAACAAAATATAAAACCTGCATCATGACTCTTTTCATTCCCTTTGTTCCTACTCGAAACCCTGCGTCTTTGTTAATACATTGGCCAGTGGCTCCAACACCCCATGTCCCAAATAAGGTGGTACAGCTCGATGAACCCATCTGACATGGTTGAGGTTCAGTGAACATAGCCTGCTTATCTGGAGAAGAATGTCAAAATAAAAGAAGGAAATTTTGTGCGCATTAAAATTATACCAATTCCGTGCCAATACAGTATCTTATTTTTCTGCAGCCAATAATTAATCATAATTAGTCGTGAATCCTTTTAATTAATATATCGTAACAATTACCTTGACGTACATTTTTTTTCTTTTGGTTAAGAATTAAGTTTATTGTACATTTTTCTACTTACGAGTATACCATCATGACATGCATGATGCAACTATTCAATGTGCAAATATGACTCCAAATATTATTTTAACCTTCATCACAGTCGTACACTAGTATGTGGTGCATTACGTTCACGTTTCAATCTCTGGAGTCGTAGCAATGATGTGGTAGTCACCATCCGCCGGAAGGTCAAAGGTCATACAATAATAGTTCGTCTCTGAATCAGGAACCGTTGTCTTCGGAACTCTGATAGTTACATTTTTCACATCTGTTTAGCATAAAAAGGGACAAGAAATTGAAATCACTTATCTTGAAGTACAGTTAATGCCGTTCTGAGAGAGAAATTGTTTACAAAACAGACCTGAACTCTTTATGGCATCACACTTGAAACTCTCCAGCTCGCAGTTCAGTTGGGTGTTTTTGGGACTATACAAGTCGCTATCGTAAGGCTCGCATACCCCTGACACATAGAAGCAATGATAATAAGTCAAGATAAATGTTTACAGAGACAAATAGGTACAATATATTTCATTTTGTAACTTAATTTTACCTGGGTGCGAAATTCCCTGATCTGTCTCAGGGATTGAATTTTCTTCCCAAACACAGTTGGGGTCACCAAGTTCCTGTCCGTTTGTTCTTCCGTCTCCGTCTGAATCCTTCATACAAAGTTCTTTAGTCCATTTCTGTGACGTAAATGTAAGTCATATACAAGCATTGTAAATATATTAATTACTAGTATACGATGAATGTGTATTGGTATGGTATGTTTTTCTTGTTAAATAAAAATATTTTTCCTTTGTATAATCAAGGTCTCTTGTGATAAAATCGCCAATATCTGTAACTGAATCGTAGATTCTTGTACGTGGCTTTATCACGACTGCGTCTCCTGTGGCCATTCGCACTTTCTATATCAGATATTTGATGCATATGATTTACAAGACGTGAAAACCTGCAAAGTTTTTTAAACTGTCAAATTGAGAAACAAGTAAAAGCTTTTCCCCCTTGCCCGAGGTATTCTGCTTAGATACTGTCAAATTCTAACAAAAACTATGCTTGTGTGTAAAAAAAAAGCAACAAATAGCAAAACTGCAAAAGAAAAAAAACACGCAATACTGGAACAAATAAAAGAAGAAAGTATTTGGGAAACACTAATGTCCCCGTATGACAGCTTTTGACAAAAATTGAAGTTTCACAAATGCAAATCAAACTCCAAGGTCAAGGTGTGAGAAAGAAATAATTTGTTCTCAATAAATTGATCTGTGAAATGTGAAAGCCCTAGCACTAATCATTAAAACGTTATGGCCCAAGATTCAAGATTTGTAAGATGTGGGTCAAACTCAAATTGCAACGTCAAGGTCAAAGGATCAAACGAAAGTAATCAAGGGAAGGCCTTGTTATGAGAAATAAATATATGAAATATTAAAGACCTAGCACCAACTGTTTAGAGATTTGAGCAATGTTTAATAATCTTCTCAAAAGTAGGCCAATGTCCAAAGTCAAGGTCAAAAGTTTAAAATTGGTATCCAAAGTAAGGTCTTGTCAAAAAATAAACGTGAAATATTATGGCCCTAGTACTAATTCAAAATTTATGTTCAATGTGAAAGTTTTTAAAAGTGGGTCAAAAATCAAGGTAAAAATATATATTTTTGGGAATGTCTTATTACAATGAATGCACATATGGAGCATGAAAGCCCTATCACCATTTATTCAAAAACTATAGTCAACGTTAAAATTGGGTAAACTTTTGCAAAATTGGTTCAAATTCAAAGTTCAAGGTTAAATACTTGTGTATGTTGGTACCCAAAGAAAGGCCTTGTCACAAGGAATACACGTATGAAATACGAGAGCTCTATGAAATATGAAAGCCAAAGTTCTCATCTATAAAAAAAACATGGGCAATTTTAAAGTTTTGCGGTCATCAGTGGGCCAGGTCTCGGGTCCTTATTTCACCATGTTGAACTCACAAGGGGTAATTAATTGTTTTATTATACATATATATTGAAAAGTATATATCTCATTATAATTCTTTCTTTGATACAAGATTAAAGTTGTTTACATTGACGTCTGCAAGTCGTGTAAGTTTTTGCATCATGATTTACTGATTAAAACAATATTTGGTTGATAGCGACATACATTGTTATAACTAACGATTACTTTTCCTTTACACAGTCAAAATCTAACACAGAAATGAGAATTCAACCCTTTAAAGAGCCGTCTCTACATTCTATTGAACTGAATATTGTAACGATATATTGTAACGATAAAATTTTACCGTATTCTGTATGGTAATGCAAAACAGAGTGAGGCCATGCACAATTTTAAAAACGTTGTTTTTTTTTCGAATAATTATTATTTTATGCATTAACTTCACTCAAAAACGAATTTTGATTAAGCGGTCATTTTTAGCGCTCATTAAAAATAATGACCGGGTCATTATTTCCCACGTGCAATGATTCCTAGGTCAGTATTGCTGTAAACAGTACCATTTGGAGTCATTGTTGTGTTTTAAAGTTTTCTTACCAGCCAATCAAATTCGAGTATTATCAATAGAGGTATAATAAACAACTATATATACATTTGTGGTATCTCTCTATTATATAAACATACGGAGAACAAATATCTTCAATTCTGTATGAAGTTTGTCTGAGGTCAGAGGTCAATACGTGGCCTAATCACACGGCGCAATAATATCTACCGGTGCATAAATATATCATACAATTAATTACCCCTTGTGAGGTCAACATCAGACCTGGGCCACGATGTGACCTGCTACGCGGCCTCAGTCAGGTCAGGTCACCTTGTGGGCCAGGTCTCGGGTCCTTATTTCACCATGTTGAACTCACAAGGGGTAATTAATTGTTTTATTATACCGATATATATTGAAAAGTATGAATTTCTAACCGCTATCAATTCTTTCTTTGATCGGGATCGGGATTCGCTACAGACCGGATAGCGAAGTTGTTTACATTGACGTCTGCAAGTCGTGTAAGTTTTTGCATCATGATTTACTGATTAAAACAATATTTAGTTGTTAGCGACATACATTGTTATAGCTAACGATTACTTTTCCTCTACACAGTCAATATCTAACACAGAATTCAACTCTTTAAAAAGCCGCCTCTACATTCTATTGAACTGAATATTGTAACGATATATTGACACGATATATTCATAATATTGTAACGATAAAATTTTACCGTATTCTGTACGGTAATGCAAAACAGACCATGCATAATTTTAAAAACATGTTTTTTTTTCGAATAATTATTATTTTATGCATTAACTTTACTCAAAAACGAATTTTTGATTAAGCGGTCATTTTTAGCGGTCATTAAAAATAATGACCGGGTCATTATATCCCACGTGCAATGATTCCTAGGTCAGTATTGCTGTAAACGGTACCATTTGGAGTCATTGTTGTGTTTTAAAGTTTTCTTACCAGCCAATCAAATTCGAGTATTATCAATAGAGGTATAATAAAAAAATATATAAAATGACTTGCTCTACTTGCATTTCATGTATAAAAATGAACAAAATATGCAAATATGCAAAATAATAATTATTTTATTTACAAGTATTTTAATTATACAGTTTTTGGCTAACGATTTAATCTGTGTATACATGAAGAATATACCGATAGAAACTAGCTTTTGTTTACAAGCTTTATGTCACTTTTTTCAGCTGTACAGTCTCTAACGTTTATCCTTATTTTTTGGTAGACTTTTGGTTAAATCTTCATGATAAACTATAATTTTTTCATCAAATTCTACTCACGATAAATGTGTAAATCTGTTGGAAAATATCAAAGCATTGCAATCACGCCACGAACAGCTGACAAACACCTCGGCGCTGTCGTAGTTCAACAGCTGTTCAATGTAAGTTTTTGCTAGTGTCCCCGTGCTTTGTTTACATCATGAATATGCCTTTAGTTATTGATATCGTAGGTTAAATGTTTTTTATCTTAGATACTTGATTGCAGATTAACTGGCACTGTCAAGTGTTTCCATCCATCGGATCATCCATCCTTTTCTAGCGACCGAAATTCCTCCAATTTTTTATCATCGATTTTCGGAGGTTTCTTGTGTCTTTTCAGCATCAATTATCAATTTTCACGAATAGAAATATTCCCAGACAACAGTTTGTTCACTATTACTGATCACAGGTACCCTTTAACAAAATATTCCCTTAGAAATAAAATCCTTAGCCTTATGAATTCGAAGCGTAACCGCCATTCAAGCCGATTTACACCTTGCGTCATTTTTAAAAATCTACGACGGACGGTTAGTGCAATAATTTATATTCGAAAGTATTCAATCGTCTGTCTCAAATGTATATATAAGTAATAAATAACAAGTTTATAAACTTCAATGGGAATTGAAGTGGGTCAGTACGTGATCAAATCTTCTGAGAAGGCCTTTGGCCTTCACAAGATTTGATCACGTGACCGACCCACTTCAATTCCCATTGAAGTTTATAAACTTGCTATTTATTTCTTAAATATACAGACGGACGGACAGGGCAAAATCATTTACCCCGAATCTTCGATTACGGAGCATAGAAATACACAGTCATATT